CCACACCCAAAACAAGCTCTGGGAGGGTGTGACTGCTGTAGATGGATCGGGCCAGGTCTACTGGAATGACCGCTAAAAGCACCCCGTACAGGAGGCACACTAGATACTGGAGGTGCATAATAAGTCTCCCGAGGCCTAGAAGTAGCCGGAACACCACTGGCGGCTAGAAGAGCTGAATGAACGAGGCGACTCACATAGCCCCTACGATGTCGAACTACAGCTGGGGTACGAGCACCTGAATAATGGCTAGACTCTCGAGACCTCTTGGCCACTCTCTCCTCTCTGTCCTGAGCAAGCATAACCTCCACTCTTCAAGCAATACTCACAACCTCCTGATACGAGATATTCTCTAACTCCCGGGTCATGCTAGTCCTGATGCTGAGATAGAGTCCCTCAATAAACCGGCGGACCTTCTCTTGAACAATAGAAACCAAGGCCGGTGCATGTATAGCCAAATTACTTAAACGAACTGCATACTTTGACACAATCATAGCGCAACTGCTCAAACTCGGTGCGCCATGCATCTCTGAGGCTTTGGGAACATACTCCCTCAAAAACATATTCAAGAATTGAGTCCATGTAAGTGAAGCTGCCTCAGCCGGACAGTCCAACTCATAAGCACTCCACCACTGGTAGGCTGCTCCTCTAAGCTGAAACGTAGTGAAAGAAACGTCACTCAACTCTGCTATGCCCATAGTACGGAGGATACAGTGGCACTCCTCTAGAAATCCTTGAGCATCCTCTGACTCTAGGCCACTGAATGTAGGAGTGTGGTAATTCTTGTACCTCTCGAGTCTACGCCGCTCCTCCTCTGAAATTGCCGCTCTACCCTCGGGTTGAATTGGGGCTACAGGTGGCACCGGTATAACCTCTGGAATCTGATCAACCTGAACCCGCTGCTCTGGAGTGCGGGTGGCGGGAGTCTGTGCTCCTCCCCCGGTGTGAAATGTGGCAGGAGCAAGGGGAACCAACCCTGCCTGATCTAGAGTGCTGAATATGCTCATAAACCGTGCAAGGGTCTCCTGAAGAGCTGGTGCAGAAGTAGTAGGCATCTCAGGTGCCTGCGCTCCGCCTGGAGCTATTGGTGTCTCCTCTGTGGCAGCTCGTGCGAGTGCTCTGGCTGCACCACGTGGGCGTCCTCGGCCTCTACCCCGGCCCTGGCCTCTGGCAACTCTAGCAGGGGCCGCGGGTGCCTAGTCATCTCCGGATGTACGTTCCTCTCCATCTGTGAGAGAATAGAAGACAAAAGTTTAGAATTTTGAAGTCAACAAATTTTGCACGACAAGGAATCAAAAGAAGTGAAATTTTCCTAACACTTCCATAGGCTCCCGAAGATAAATACGGACGTCTCCGTGTCGATCTGCGAGACTCTACTAAACCTGCTTGTGACTCACGACACCTATAAACATAGAGTTCTGATACCAACTTGTCACGACCCAATTCACCCTTCATAAGGCATCGTGACGGCACCTAGTCTCTACGACTAGGTAAGCCTAATATTGCGAAAAAATAATAAAAATAAAAACATAAATCTAAACCACTAACATCAACAGTAATGAAGTAATTGATAGAAATGCCGCTCGGCATGTACAATAACAACTCTCAAAAAGAAAACATACAAAAATCTTCCCATGACCCCGAACATCATAACAATCTTCTAAGAATTTACTATTTGTTATATACATCAGTATTAGGAAGTAGTAGAGGAAGAACTACACAAACGATAGAGGGGGACTCCTAGGTCTGCGAACGCGGTAGATATACCTTGAAGCCTCTATAACAGCAGCAGGTTCACAACCAATAGCGAGGCTAGAATGATGTACCTGGATCTGCACACGAAAATATGTGCAGAAGAGTAGCATGAGTACACCACAATTGGTACCCAATAAGTGCCAAGTCTAACCTCGGTCGAGTAGTGACGAGGTCAGGTCAGGGCCCTATTGGTATATACATATAAAAATAAGTCAGAACGAAATATCGCAGTATAATAAAGACTGAAATTTAATAAGAAGGAAATCACATAAACATAACAGCACAATGAACAGAAATAACAACAGGGGATCTCCCGAGATACCGTCTCGTAGTCCCAAAGTAAATGTGCAAGGGGATCTCCCGGGATACCGTCCCGTAGTCCCAAAGTAAATATGCGGGAAGATCTCCGGGAATACCGTTCCGTAGTTCCAAAAGTAAATATGCAGGGGGATCTCTCGGAATACCGTTACGTAGTCCCAAAAGTAAATGTATAGGGGGATCTCCCGGGATACCGTCCTGTAGTCCCAAAATAAATACGCAGCTCAAACAGTGGAGATAACAGCTATAACACAAAAACATACAGTTTAGACTAAGTACAAGTCAAGGAAGAAGCAGGAAATCCACTAAGCATGCTGCACATAGTTCAGATAAGCATTTAAGACAAGTAGACATGCTATTCTAGGCTAAACAGGATAATTACGCATGCTAGTATAACTCAATTAAAGTGAAATAGGTTATTACTCAATGAGAAAATGGAGTTTTACAAAATATAGCCCGTGTACGCACTCGTCACTTCACGTACACGGCGCTCACATAACACAACAATACCAAATCCTAAGGGGATTTCCCCCACACAAGGTTATGCAAGCCACTTACCCCGAACCAAGCTCAATCGATCGGTAACAATGCCTTTTTCCACGAATATCTACTCCGAATGGCCCAAATCTAGCCAAAATCAATTATATATCATAAATATAACTATAACAAACTATTCTAGTTTATGAAATCAAAGCTAAAGCAAGAAATTAGGAAATCGCCCTAAAAAGCCTCTCCGGGCCAACGTCTCGAAATCGGGTAAAAGTCACAAAATATGAACACCCATTCACTCACGAGTCCAACCATACAAGAATTACTCGAATCCGACCTCAAATCGCCTTTTAAAACTCAAACTTTTTGTCTAGGAAGTTTCTACCAATTTTCCCCGAATTTTCAACTCAAATCCCTAGTTAGGTGATGAAAATAGTAATAGATTCATGGAATATAGTCCAATCCGAGTTAGAATCACTTACCCCAACAATTTCCTTGAAGAAACCTCGAAAAAATGCCTCACACCGAGCTCTGAAGTCCCAAAATTAAAAATGTGAATCAAACCCTTGAACTTGATCTTTTCTGCCCAGCGATTCCGCATCTGCGGACCAGCAGTCGCACCTGCGGAATTTTCATCGCAGGTGCGGAAGTGACTTAAAGGGCCGGGTCCGCATCTGTTAGCACTGGGCCGCACCTGCGCGCCCGCTCCTACGGATATCTTTCGCTTCTGCGATCTCTCACGCTCCTGGCCCTTCCGCTTCTGCGCTCCATCTTCCGCATCTGCGATTGCGCAGATGCGGCTATACCTTCACACCTGCGACATCTGGCCTCTTCCTTCAAAACCGCACCTGCGTCCCTAGGCTCGCTTCTGCAGGCTCACACCTGCGGTCAATCTTGCGCGGGTGCGATTACAACAGGGGCAGCAACTTCATCCATTCTTCCAAAACCAAATTTGATCCGTTAATCATCCAAAATCAACCCGAGGCCCCCGGGACCTCAACCAAACATATCAACAAGTCCTAAAACACCATACGAACTTAGTCGAGCCCTCAAATCACATCAAACAACGCTAAAAACACGAATCATCCCCCAATCCAAACTTAATGAACTTGAAACTTCAAATTTCTACAACCGATGCCGAAACCTATCAAACCATGCCCAATTTACCTTAAATTTCGCACAAAAGTAATATCCAATATTACAGACCTACTCTAACTTCCGGAATCGGAATCCGACCCCGATATAAAAAAGTCAACTACCGGTCAAAATCTCCAAAAATTCGACTTTCGCCATTTCAAGCCTAAATAAGTTACAGACCTCCAAAACACAACCCGGACACGCCCCTAAGTCCAAAATCCCTCAACGGAGCTAACGGAACTGACGAAACTCTATTTCGGAGTTGTCTTTACATAGTTCTGACTACGGTTAAAATTCTAAGACTTAAGCCTCCGTTTAGGGACTAAGTGTCCCAAAATACTCCAAAAACCAAAACAAAAACTCCCGGCAAGTCACATAAGCTGAAACAGATACGGAAAAAGCAGTAAATGGGTTGGCTAATATTTTAAAAATGTCCGGCCGGGTTGTTACAACCTTTTCAAAATAATAATAATATCTTTTTATGCTCTCCAGGTTCATATATTTTTATAATATTATATATTATTTAATAAATATTATATTATATTATTTTTAATTAGTATTATTATGATAGGATGATAAAAAATATTAGGAAATTGTGATGCACTTAAAAGATACAACAAAGGTGCATATGAATCTAAGAACATTAACTTTCATGTTAAACGATCGCAAAGATAAGAATGGGTAGAGCGGGTAAAATAAATGTGCCGCATAGGTATAAAACGTAAAAAAATTAACATGGGTAGATACGGATAAATATTTTGTCTTGTATGAGTATATAGCATAATTTGCTCTATTTTTTGTCTAGACTTGTATTTTCGTATTAATAAGTGATCATTACTTTGTATACAATTTAAAATAGCCAAACTCTAATAGCCCACCTATAAAGTAGCTATTTACCAATTTTTTCATAGTTTAAACCCACTTTAAGATTTACACCCATTTAACTGACCACTACATTCCTTTTAATGATTCCTCGTCGACTTTGATTTTTTCAAAGCGTTTTGCTCTTTGGTGAGCATGTTATTAAAATAAATAAAACTACTATTGTCAACGTCGTCGAGATTCTTATCTAGTCATGCCTCATTGTCATTCGCACTATCAGAAAAAGAAAACAAAATTGTAGTATGATATTATACTGAATGAAATTAATTAGTTGATGATTAATACCCACTAGAAATTTTGTATCTAACTAGCTTTTTTACTGTTTCATTTTTATTTTTCAAGTAATTTCTTTCTAATTTATATCTAATCTACTTTTCTGGCCTAGCCAGGTGAAATAACTTTGTTTTATAACTATTTGGTATTTAGTGCTCACTAAAACCCCGATTAATTTAATTTTGCATTTCCAGCCAAAAATTCTTCATTTTTAGGACTCGAACAATGGACCTCTTGTTAAAGATCTTGGGCGGAGGAAACCTATCTTTTCCACATAGGACCTCATAGTTCTATATATGAAACCCTTTGAATACGTTCTCTTACATTATCTTTCAAAATCATGCAGCATAAGCAAGTTCCTCTGTTTTCTTTCCAACTTCCCTGTTTCTTTTCATTTGTGCTAATCTTGACATTAGCCACTGCTCAAATTATTACCATTTCTCCTCCTCCTCCTCCTCCTACCACCAGCCCACCACCTACAAACACCACCCCACCACCCACCAACACCACCTCGCCACCCACCAACACCACCATAACGAAAGCTGCCAATATTACAAAACCAGGATGTCAAAAACAGTGTGGAAATCTTACAGTTCCATATCCATTTGGGATTGGTATAGGATCAGGTTGTGCCATAGACCCAAGTTTCGAAATCAACTGTGATACTATAACAACAGGTTCTCCGACGCCACTTCTAGGGAACATCAAAATCTATGACATCTCCGACTCTGAAATGCGCATATCAAGTGTCTTAAATCGGAGATGTTACTCATCTACTGGAGTTTTGATCCTAGATCAACCTGCATGGATGACTTTAGGAAGCTCCAGTCCTTACAGTTTCTCTTCCCTGAACAGGTACTTAAGAATGTTAACATATACTACTATAATAAATAAAACATGGCAAATGGGCGCGTTAGATCAACCTTGAGTAAATCAAAATATGTCAAATCAATAAATGAGTTATGATCCGACCTATCCAAAGTTTGCTTAAGTCAAATAACGAGTCATAACTCAGCACTCAAACAAGAACCTCCCTTCTATTCTATTTTACTTTTTGAAGAATTTTTTTGAAAACAATGTACCCTTCTTAAATTATTAGCTTAGGTATGTTTGGAATTGGTTACAATTGACCTAATGGGTTACACTACTTTGGCTTGTTTTGACCCAATAATTTGATGCGTCATTTCGAGTTCAGTACGTTGAGTCAAGTAAACAAATTGGTAATAATCTTGCAATCTCTATGCAGATTCTCCGTCGTTGGATGTGATGAAGCTGCTATAATAGTTGGAGACGACTTCGCGAATGGTTGCCCCACTGTCTGTACTACCTCCAGTGATGTAATTGAGGGAAGATGTATGGGTGCTGGTTGCTGTCAAATAACAATACCAAAAGGCTTGAAATATTTCAACACATCTATGCAAAGCTCGAAGTTAAATCACACTGCAGTTTGGTCGTATAGTAAATGTGGCTATGCATTTCTTGGTGAGGCGAGTCGCTTCGAATTCAAGGGTTTACAGGATCTCAGTGATCTCGATTTTGTAAAAAAGATTAAGAATAATGTTCCCATTGTGCTAGATTGGGCTATCGGAAATCTTACTTGTGTTGAAGCACAAAAACGTAACGATTATGCATGCCTGGATAATAGCCAGTGTGTTGATTCAGACAACGATATCGGGGGCTATCGCTGCAGCTGTAACTCGGGATATGAAGGCAATCCATACATTGGCTCAGGCTGCCAAGGTAACATGATTTCTACTTTCACACATTGTTTTGAACTTCATTTTGTTTTTGGCAAGTTTGTCTCTTTTTTTTTCTTGGTAGAAAATCAATAGTAGTTCTCTATTTCCTCTTTCGAGTCAATTTTCAATCTTGGATCAATCAATAGTAGTTTGATCACCGTAAACACTCCTATAACATCACTCAATTTCAAATACACCCCTGTATTTATAAATTAAACAATGTACTATAAAAATCCTACACAAATATTAATATTGTTAGTGACGCGCTAAAGTTTCTAATTTTAAACCTAAAATATTTTAGGAATGGACAAAGTTGCCCTTATCTCCATTCTCATCGACATGCACACCCTTTCCGTCTCTGGTAGCGTTAGAGGTGTCCTCTGTAACACGACTGTGTCTTTTTTTTTACTAAAGTTTTTGGAATATGAGCAACACAATGTAATTTCTGGAGATAGTGGATTCCCATCCTCCCAGCACTCTTCATATTTGCAAATCCTGATTATCTAGGCATGAATGTATAAGATTTTTCTCATAAAAATTTAGTTGACTATTTTGAGGTGAATCGGTCTAGCAATGAGGTTGCCAACAACTTATTTATTAAGTATTGTTTAAAGATTCAAAGCTCTATAAATGTTGCTTAGTTTTAAATTATTTAGGCTATATGATAAAAATACGATTCAACATCAATTTGTCTCATCATCGTAAGTGGAAAAGACCAAGAAATATTGTAAAAGAAATAACGCTATTTAAATACTCCTAGTTGCCACTGAACAAAATAATGCTGGAACTTTCATTAAACAACTTCAGGTCTTACTTTAGGACACACACACACATATATATTCACAGCTTCTTCTGCAATTAAATATGTGATAAAGAAAGATAAAAAGGACAAATTATCAGGAATTTTTTTTAATCCACTAGCACAAATAACAGATAACTTTGTCCATGAGACTTTCAGGTAAAGAAGAAATTAATTTTTTGCCACTATTAAAATTTGAATATATATGGTCTTTCATCCCACTTGATTGACTGGCCGGCCATATACTCTTGGGTGTTGAAGCATCATGGATTAATATGACTATATGTTCTTTGTTTTGTACGCCAGATATTGATGAATGTGCAGATCCAAATACCAATTCGTGTGAAAAGACTTGCATAAATATGCCGGGGAGTTACAATTGTACCTGTCCAAAAGGACACACCGGTGATGGCAGAAAGAATGGTCGTGGCTGTATTGCACCGAACTCGAACTCTGAATTCCCATGGATCAAATTTTCTGTAGGTAAGTTTCTCATATAATAAACTTGTCTTTACTCGCATATTGTAAATATAGTATTTTCTAAGTTATGAAATGATTAGAAAAAATGCAATTTTTGTTTTTAACTATTATTATGGCATTGGATATTTCACTACAGTAAAGGAGAGGGACAGAACCGGCAAACTCATAGCACAAGTAAATATGAAAAATTCCACGCCTTTCTATATTTTTTGTTATCTCCATCGTAGACCAACTTGAGTTTCTGTAGAACTATTTTAATTTATGTGACATTCTTTTCTTTTTAGGCATTCCAAAAAAGAACGATACCTTTCTATATTTAGTAACACTTTTTATTTTAAAATTTTTCCTTTTACCCTTAATTAGATGATTTCTAGCGACATAAATTTCTATAGTTTGTCGTAGATCACAAGTTTAAAAAATCTTCATTTATTTCATAAAATCCCCAGTCAAACACCTTCACGTAAATTGAGATATGTGGAGTATTTCTTTTGTGATACATGCTCCATATAAGTGGTATTTTTGTTGCACTAGAATTTTGCATCTTCTATAAGAACCAAAAGTATTTGTATCATAGTCCTGACCTAGTCTTCTATAGCCAAGAATGATGTTGAGTAGCATAAACAAGGATTCCATAATTATTCGTTGTAAACAAACTTTAGTGGGAATATAATATTTTCTGTCTAAAAGTCAAATGCTTATCTTGTGAAATCACTAGACATTGAATTAGTATAGCTCATAACTTTAAAGGATAGTATATGTATAATATTTACAAGTTGCCAATATTCATGCATGTTTCTTCTCTTATATCATGAAGCCCTGATCCTGTTGCCAAGCCAGAAATATTTTCAAGGGTGTTCAGACTTGAAAGAAGTAATATATATTTAATACATCTAAAATTAATATTTTACTTATATATACAGTGTAAGTTTTCATAATATTTCGGCAAAGGGTGGTCAGTTGACCACCCTTTGCAAAAGGTGGCCTCGCCCTGCCCTGATCCGATCCCTTTACGTCTTTAATCCGTCTGAATAGCTTAAATCCCCACTCTTTCTAGTACAGTAAAGAAGGGTTAAATGTTTTCTTATAAATAACACAGGTATGGGAGTTGGTTTTATGTCCCTAGTGGTTGGGACAACTTGGCTCTATTTCAGCATCAAGAAAAGTAAACTCATTAAACTTCGAGAAAAATTCTTTCAACAAAATGGCGGTTTGCTCTTGAAACAACGAATATCTTCTGACGAGGGTGGTATGGAAGCAACCAAAGTTTTTACAGCGGAAGAGTTGAAGAAGGCTACAAACAGCTATGCCAATGATAGAATTCTTGGTCGTGGTGGAAATGGAATTGTCTATAAAGGTATTTTACCTGATAATCGCATAGTTGCGATTAAAAAATCTAAGTTTGTGGACGAGGATCAAGTTGAACAGTTCATTAATGAGGTACTTATTCTTACTCAAGTCAATCACAGAAATGTTGTGAGACTCTTTGGATGTTGTTTGGAAGCTGAAGTTCCTTTACTGGTCTATGAATACGTTTCTCATGGGACTCTTTATGAGCATATCCATAACCAAAATGGAGCGCCTTGGTTATCTTGGCAAAATCGGCTAAGAGTTGCTACTGAGACAGCAAGTGCACTTGCTTACCTTCATTCATCCGCGTTAATGCCCATAATTCACAGAGATGTCAAGTCTGCTAATTTATTATTGGATGATGTTTACACTGCAAAAGTGGCAGATTTTGGAGCTTCAAGATTAATTCCACTTGATCAAACACATCTTGCTACATTGGTTCAAGGGACATTAGGTTATTTGGATCCTGAATATTTCCGCACAAGTCAATTGACTGAGAAAAGTGATGTTTATAGTTTTGGAGTAGTTCTTGCGGAACTTTTGACAGGAATAAAACCTATTTCTAGGGACAAAAATAACGAGGACAAAAACTTGGCAGAGTATTTTGTTTTGTCCATGAGAAAGAATCAATTGTTTCAAATTCTTGATCGCAGAGTGGTAAGAGAAGGAAGCCTCGAGCAACTCCAAAAGGTGGCTGAGCTAGTGAAGAGTTGTCTTAGTTTGCATGGTGAAGATAGGCCAACTATGAAGGAAGTGGCAATGGAACTCGAAAGTTTAAGAAAGTTCACCAAAAATAACCCTTGGCCAAGCGGACATGGACACCATGAAGAGAATGAAGATGAATCATCAGATCTTTATACAATTCAATTTGACTCTAATACAGGAGTCAACAACTTATCCGGACAATATAATTCCAACTCCACCACAAATAATACTAGCAATTTTTCTGGACAATATAGTGTGGATAGTTCTTCATTTATATTTAATAGAAATATCCCACGGTGATCCAAACCAGAAGGTTAAATATGATGATTGATGAAGATTTTCTGCAGTTGTATGTTCTTTTCTTCGCGTCTTTCTTTAATGTTGAATTTTCTGATGTAATTTGTTTGCTTTTTGATTTGTATTTTTCTCTTGAGAGTCAAAGTCCGACTAAACTTATTATTCAAATGTGTGGTATGTTTTTCATTTTTATATGAGAAAAATTTGTTGTTTATGGTATCTTTGTATATCATTTTAATTACTTATTAAAAAGTAAATTGATTTAGGTTCGATTTAGGAATACGAAGATGTGTTTGCTTGATCAAATTAAGACCTCTCAGTTTTGGGTAACTCCTTTTCAGTTTATCATTTGTTACAGCAATTCATCAACTTAATTGGTGTCTGCTCTTACAGAGTCGATGCAGTTTACAATAATAAAAATCATTAGTAAACAGGACGACAAAGTTGTTTTCTTGACAACATTTTAGCTAGGAAAGTGAGGAGAAATATAAATGTACAACAATAGTATATACAACAAACTTTCTCATTAATAAAACGAGAAACAATATACATAAAAGATAGCTTCAGTAGGAATTTGACTCTCAAGGCAATAAAATCCTCGACGGAAAAGTATTCTATATATGCAAACCAAAATTCAAAGAGAAAGGTACATATTAAAAGCAAAAAAAAATTACATCAGAAAATTCAACATTGAAGAAAGACGAGGACGAAAGAAGCATAAAATCTTCATCAATCATCATATTGCCCTTCTGTTTTGAATCAATGCGCTATTTGTATTAGGAGTACTATATATAGATGAAGAACTATCTGAACTATATTGTCCAGAAAAGTTGCTGCTATTTGTGTTGGAGTTGGAACTATATTGTCCGGAGAAATTGTTGATACCTGTATTAGAATCAATTGGAATTGTATAAAGATCTGATACTTCATCTTCATTCTCTTCATGTCCATGTCCATTAGGCCAAGGGTTATTTTTGGTGAACTTTCTTAAACTTTCAAGTTCCATTGCTACTTCTTTCATCGTAGGCCTATTTTCTCCGTGCAAGTGAAGGCAACTCTTCACAAGTTCGGCCACCTTTTGCAGTTGCTCGAGGCTTCCTTCCCTTACTACTCTGCGATCAAGAATTTGAAACAATTGATTCTTTCTCATGGACAAAACAAAATATTCTGCCAAATTTTTGTCCTCGCCATTTCTGTCCCTCGAAATAGGTTTCATTCCTGTCAAAAGTTCTGCAAGGACTACTCCGAAACTATAAACATCACTTTTCTCAGTCAGTTGACCTGTGCGAAAATATTCAGGGTCCAAGTACCCTAATGTCCCTTGAACCAATGTAGCGAGATGTGTTTGATCAAGAGGGATTAATCTGGAAGCTCCAAAATCTGCCACTTTTGCAGTGTAAACATCATCCAATAATAAGTTGGCAGACTTGACATCTCTATGAATTATAGGCATTGCCGCGGATGAATGAAGATAAGCAAGTGCACTTGCTGTCTCAGTAGCAACTCTTAGCCGATTTTGCCAAGATAACCAAGGCGCTCCATTTCGGTTGTGGATATGCTCGTAAAGAGTTCCATGAGATACATATTCATAGACCAGTAAAGGAACTTCAGCTTCCAAACAACATCCAAAGAGTCTCACAACATTTCTGTGATTGACTTGAGTAAGAATAAGTACCTCATTAATGAACTGCTCAACCTGATCCTCGTCCACAAACTTAGATTTCTTAATTGCAACTATGCGATTATCAGGTAGAATACCTTTGTAGACAATGCCATTTCCACCACGACCAAGAATTCTATCATTTGCATAGTTGTTTGTAGCCTTCTTCAACTCTTCCGCTGTAAAAACTTTGGTTGCTTCCACACCACCCTCGTCAGAAGAAATTCGCTGTTTCAAGAGCAAACCACCATTTTGCTGGAAGAATTTCTCCCGAAGTTTAATGAGTTTTCTTTTCTTGATGCTAAAATAGAGCCAAGTTGTCCCAACCACTAGGGACATAAAACCAACTCCCATACCTGTGTTTGTATATAAAAAAAAGTTAAGTCCCTCTTTATTGGAATTAGAAAGAGCGGGGATTTTAGCTATTTGGACGGATTAAAGACATAAAGGGATCAAGGGGCTTGATGAACTAAGAGAATGGACTTGTACGCTCCTTTACTGTGTGGTATTAGCGAAATATACAACATCATAATCAATAGTTACTAAAGATGAAAATTGCATCTTTTCTAGTGATTTCCTAACTTTGAAGATACTCTGTACTATATGTGAGTAGAGACAAGTTTAATTTTCTGGGGAAACTTACCTACAGAAAACTTAATCCATGGGAATTCAGAGTTGGAGCTTGGCGCAATACAGCCACGACCATTTTTTTTGCCATCACCGGTGTATCCTTCTGGACAAGAACAATTGTAACTCCCTGGAATGTTTATGCAAATGTTTTCACACGAATTGGCATTTGGATCTGCACATTCATCAATATCTGGCATGCAAAACAGAGAAAATTAGTCTTATTAATCGCTGACGCTTTGTCTTTTTTATCTATTTTATTTATATACATATTTACTAACAAAAATTGTGATTATACCGTAGTAAGATGTGAAATTGTTTAACGAAAATTCCAGCATTATTTTGTGCACTTATGGCAACTAGGACTATTTAATTAAGCTTGGCAACTAGGAACATTTAAACAGCTCTCACATGTTGCTAAATATAATTTTGCTCTGCCTTGCTCCTTTTCAATGTATCTTGACCTTTTCCACTTAAGATAACGAAACAAGTTGATGTTAAACCATATTCTTTATCATATAAAAGGTACTAAATATATGTAGCTTTGAATCTTTAAACATTACTCTATGAAACATTGCCTCATTGCTAGACCAATGCAACTCAAAATAGTTTATCCAATTAAAATTACAGCTGCGTTGTCTATCATGCATAAAGTACCACTTACCTATAACATTATTAATATTCCATATATTTTCGTATAAGCTAGTAACAAATTACTATAAGCTGATGAAGAACAATTCGAATTCAACTTTTAAAAGCATTAAGTGAGATTAAAAAAATAGAGGTGTGATCAAACTACCTGCTCCCCCACAAAAGAAAGAAAAATAAAAAAAAAAAGTAGAAAAAGAGAAAAAATAGATTTGGAAATTTATATCTACTAAGTCAAACTTTGGTAAGAGGGATGAATTACTAATAAGCTAAGTTGGTCGGACTTGGGTGCGGGTATTCGATACAGTTACAAATCTGAGAGTCGGATTCGGCAAAATCTAAATTTTAAGATTTGGGAGGGGGGAGGGTGCGGATCGGGGTATGGATATTCTAAATTTTTATAAAAGCAACAAATATGAGACCAAAGGACTATAATATTGAGGTAGGTCATTTCCCATATCTTAAATCTGTTTTATCTTTTATTTGAGAAATCAAAATCTCAAAATTTTCCAGAAATTTGTCTATGGAATCCAGTCAAAGTATCCGAAGTTGATTCACCGAATTTCCCAAACTTATCCCGCACCCGTCCCAGTGTTGTGTTGAGACGGGTTTGACATAAAAAATAAAGAGTCCGTGCAACTTATGTGATAAGTTCAATCCATGTTTGAACCCAAAGAGCAAACATAGAACTGCTCCCTCAATTGAAAAAAGAGTGATACTATTTTCTTATTCGTCCGTTCATAAAACAATGCACTTTCCTAAAGTCTGGAAAAATTTAACTTGAACATCCCATTTTGTCTAGCTAGTGACAAACTTTTATAGCCATACAAATTTATGACATGCTTAAAATTATAAGCTTAAAACTTTTTTATGTCCGCATGACAAAAGTTATGACATATTTACGACTACAAGTTTAATAAAAAAGTTTCATTTCTTTCTTATGCTCTGTACTCAATCAGACGATATCATATAAATTGAAACAGAAGGAGTATCTACTAATTAAATCAAACTTCAATGAAAGGGATGTATTAGTGATTACTCAACATCACCTCCAATGTCAGGTCCAGGTTTGGATCGAAAGAGCAAATTGACAAACTTCTTATATATATATATATATATATATATATATATATATATATATATATATATATATATATATATATATATATATATATAAACAAAAAGGAAGTTCAATCATGTGAGAAAGTAGAGAAATCAAGTTACCTTGGCAGCCAGAGCCAATATATGGATTGCCTTCATATCCCGAGTTACAGTTGCACCTATAACCACCAACACCAGTGTCGGAATCAACACACATGCTATTCTCCAGGCAAGCATAATCGTCGCGTTTCTGTGCTTCACCACAAGTAAGATTTCCAATAGCCCAATCTAGCACAATGGGAACATTATCCATAATCTTCTTTGCAAAATTAACATCAGTGAGATCCTGTACACCCCTGAATTCGAAGCGACTCGCCTCACCAAGAAATGCATAGCCACATGGATTAAACGACCACGATCTGCTATGATTTTTCGTGCTAATCATAGACGTATTGAAATATTTCAAGCCTTTTGGTATTGATATTTGGCAGCAACCAAAACCCATACATTTTCCTTCAACTACTTCACTTGAGCTACTACAGAGAGCGGGGCAACCATTAGCGAAGTTACGTCCATTTATTATACCACCATCATCACAACCAACCACTGTGAATCTGCCCAGGTGAATTTACAATTTAGAATCAGTAAGTTTAGATGTAAAGAGATGACGAAATCAACTCATTTTTAGTAATACTATCAATCGGTCCGAGTTTAAATGGGTTGAGATCCATTGGATTTCAATCTAATTTGGGTCAAAACGAGTTAATTAAACTAGTATAACCCCACATGTCAAACTGCAATCCAAATTTAAACGTACAAAATCAGATTTGAGATTGAAAATTATGTAAACTTAGGAAGAATATATACTACTCCCTCTATTTCAATTTAAGTGATGACTGGGCACGAAGTTTATAAAAGAAACGAATTTTTTTTAAACTTGTGGCCCTAAACAAGCCATAATATTTGTGTAACTACTTATATTCAAACTTGTGGTGTTAAATATACCAAAGTAAGAAATTGAAACTTTTAAAACTTGTGGTCCAAACAGGCCATAATATTTGTATGACTAATTTTTATAAAACGTGTGGTGTTAAATATATCAAAGTGTTTGTGTGACTATAAAAGCTTCTCATTGAGATTGAATTGGAAATTTAAGTTAAATGTTTCTATATTTAAAAAGGGT